GATCTCAGACATCCTCGATCGATCTCTCTTTTTAAATGTCGAACGAAACGCTATAATGATAGCTTTTTGCCGTATAGCATACGTAAATGGAACTCTTTTTAATATTTTAATATTTTAGAACCTAATGTTAGCATATCTTTTTGTAGTTATGGTATTAACATGTTAGTAATTGTATTTCTGAGTATTTTATCACTGTAAATATGTAAATAGTCTTATTTCTGATACTTGTAAACTTGTGTTTTTCAGTTCGTTTTTGAACTGCCATTCAAGTACTTTAATAATAATCAATCAATCATCATATATATATATATATACAGCTTTGGCTAATTTTCCGATGCGCGATTCGATTTCGCTCGCATGATACGGCAATTCCTCCAAGAGGAACAAATAAACAGTTCTTTTGATGCTGATTTCGATTAAGTTTAGATTTAATTGGGGTTAATTAGAATATATTTAATACATGTATATTCTGGTCCTATTTTAATAATATCGCTGCTATTTCGCCGTTTAACAAGATATAGTCGTAGTATGGGCGCTTGACACGTCGCAGTTTGCACAGGATTGAAGATTTAATATAACTATATAAGCGCGACTACAAAGGCATTCATGTGGTTCATTTACATTTTAAAACAATTGAACTTCTATACTTTTTAAAGTACGATGCACTTCTGAATTTCGTGATCGAACAACATTTAGGTTGGCAAGGCATCTAAATGAGTATGAACTGTATTGTTTATGCTCAGATATATTGAAGACTGGCACGTGCACGGCACGCCGGAGTTAGCGCCAGAACAGGCGTCTTGTTTACTTTTGTTCGTACAACTGCGTAGCAACAATAACAAAGACGAATTCGGGCATAAGACGAATATATGCATGGATACGCTGCCCCATGTCCCCTTTAAGCCTCTAGCGACACCCCTAACGATTAGAAAGACATTCTTTTCACTACTGTTGTAATACAATTAAAATTGATGTAAAACTTCTTAAGTATGTTGACGACTATAATTTTTTGTTTATCAAGTCATAATCTTTAAGATTTTTAGCGTGTAACGATTTGCACAAGATCGGTACTCAGGCGGAAAAATCCTGTGTAAAGCCTTGAACACAAGGTATATTGATCATTCTGTCATCCAAGAAAAGTAAAATGTAGAACGTGCGACCTTTAAACTGTTTATTCATTCGAAATTATGTCTTTTATGAGTAGATACTTCGTTGTTTACCTTGTAGTTCGGTTTTTCTTTGACAAGTGCATGGTATATAATAAAAAACTTATTTATCGAGAACTGAGAAAATATTAATATGTTTTGTGGACACTCGACCATCAATATTTCTCTCGGCTTCGCCTCGTGTTATTGTTACAATATTGTTTCACAGTCAATATAAATATATGTTTTTGCAGGTGCAAATGAAGTTTGAAAATGGGTTGATAAAAAATCGCGATCGGTATGATATATATAAACTCGTCGTTTTTCTGCCATACCGATCGCTTTTTAGACTATAGTTATATGCTTTGATTTTGAGAACACACGACTACACAGCCATATAATAGCCTTAAAGTCAAAGTATACATTATGCACCTTTATATAACTACCAAAGTCTGCGTATATCATAGGTCCAGGTTTAACAGGTCATCATCCTCTTTTATAGAAGCAGCAGTGAATTAAACCAATAAATTAATACTAATATAATCGCAAAATTCTCTTCCTTAATTAATCGTTAATTAATCGTGAATAATAATTCTGGGTTCATTTGTCGGAAAAGCTTTTGTCGTTATTGTCGTTCACTCCCCTTCATGTCAAGAATATTCTAAAACGTGACGTCATACCCCGAAAAATAATCTTTCCGGACAGAGAGACACAAGAACGAGATGTTGGCAATATACAGTATAGGTCGGGTGAAAAGACTGGGTCGAGTAAAGACTCAAGAATAGTGTGCTACCTAATTAGGCAAATAGGGAAATTCATAAAATCACTGCCAAGTAATTAAGAGGAGATTTTTTAGATTATCGAGACACTAGCGCTCAAGAATACCGTGATGCTTTGCGCGAGTTTTAGAACTTTTGTTTATTTTTAAAATGGATGCAAGATTTTTGTTATTTTTGTTAACCCAGCCGTGTTTTGGAACTAAATCATTAATAATCTTGTGCAGAAATGGTTTAGCAATATTTTTTATGATATGATTTGTTTTGGGAGACGCTTCCAAGGCCATCAAGCCATCATCTGTTTACAACGATGATGTCCTTGTCGGTGGTCACGATGGTAATGAAGGAAGTGACGAGATCGAAGTTTTGGAGATGAAGCAACATCCTTTACGATCAGTAGCGTAGCCAACCAGTCGATTTGTCCCGCTATGCTAATATTTTCGTGTTTATTGACTGAATAGATTTCTAAAGACATGAATAATTATAATAACTCGAAATTTACATAGCGGGACAAAATCGTCAGGCTGACTACGCCACTGTTTACGATGGACAATGTTTGATGGTAAATTGCAAGCCAAATTGTATGTTCATGTCGTCATGGTTTATTGAGGAAAATTATACATCATAGGAGGATATGACAGGAATGAAAGAATACTGTCGAATGCAATTTACGAGATTGCTCTTACCCCACCTTATACTGCCAAGCTGCTGATGAGAATGACTGAGTAAAGAAGATAATTATAACAGAGCAGAACTTGTTAATGGAAAACTGTTTACCTTCGGCGGAACAACAACCGGGTTTTATACAAATGTTATTGATAGCGTTGTTGTTTATGATCTGATTACAAATGAGTTCAAGCCACCTCTATCGTTACCTTAGCCTGTTTGTTTCATGTCTACAGTCACATGGGGCAATATGATAATTGCTTTAGTCGGTAAGAAAAGGAATTGTCAGGTATTAAAATACGCCATGATGTAAGAGACTGAGACTGGGCAGAGTGATACACTGCCATTCATGATTTACAAAAGGAGTGCTTGCTCTGCAGTGATCACGAATGACGTAATTGTCCTATTCAGAGGAAGCAATAGGGAGCAGGGATACCTGAACTCTGTGGAATCTTTAATAATTGGCGGAGATGGCTGGAAAGAGCTGCCAGGAATAATAGAGAAAATAAATGCGTCTAGCACTGCAGTGAAACAACTGTAGGTAAGCTACCGACTAAATATTTACTAAAGGACGTTGAGGTCTCTCCACATGATCCAATTTTGGTTGGATCCAATTCTCTTCTGACGTATGAAATATAGTCAGTTACTGATAAGCTCTAGTGCATTGGCTTCAGTGGATTTACTGTTCATTCATACACATTACAAGACAGCACACTATAAAACATCCATCTGAAGCGAATTCGATCTGCCAAAATTGGATCACGTGAACACACCCTTGACATGTTCTCAACGGCATCGTCTCTGCGTCGCGAGAATATTGCAGTTGAATCATAACATGGTGATGAGCGTGAAATAATTATAATATACATATCAAAATATTCAACCGTCGAATCATAAAATATAACTGCTTCCACAGTTGAATTCTTATTAAATATTGGTAAAATTTACATATAAGCATTTGATAAAGAATGAATTTAAATTGAGAAGTTTGACATGTTGGCTAAGATTGAGATGAAGGCGAAATATGTTGGGTTTTGATTAAGTTTTTAACCCCTCGTTATTTTAAACGAAGCAAAATATTTCGTGCGCTACCCAGACCTAAATTTTTACGCTAATATTATGAAATAACTCGTGCAAATTTTTCGGACACAAAGATAGTCGTAAAGGTGAACAGAAATCACCTGTTTTCCTGCTGCATTACCTTGCACTTTAAGTTAAACTTTTCTATAGCTAAACCTTCAAAACAATAAAACAGCACAAATAATTATACTAAACGTCCAATGTTGTTTTTCGATTATTTATTTTTGATTTTCGCGACTATATAAGCTGCAAAGTGACATTTGTTTTATCAAAACTCTGAAGTACACTTTTGAGAACTCTTTTTAAAGTTTAAGCGATGATGTAAAGCCTTAAACGGTCGGTTAGCTCCTTGTAAAACACATACCCAGCTTGCACTTGTCAAAATAACAATGCATTCTTACAGCAAACACTGAATAAGCAGAATTATAGACACCTACCACTAAGATTATAATCTACGAGTCGTTTCTATTTCACCAACTGTTTCTGTGCTGTGATGATCTTTAAATATTTTATTATTGTTTTAATATATATTTGACCCCATGATTTCATTTTATATTTTTAAAAAATAGTTTGCAAAATGACGGCTAAAATGCTGACGCTATCATGCATGCTCTCTTTTTGTCTTAGACAATCAGCAAGTTGCAGACGACCGTTCTTTATTCGTTCAAATTTTGCACATGCGCACAACTACCATGACCATTGAACGTCCATGACATTTGGGCAACATTGGATTCCTCTATGTTGTGTCAGAATACCCGGGTGTAATTCCTAATCTCCGGGCGGAATTAGTACCCTCGCACGGCACTTCCCGCCAAAATACATTAAGAACTCTTTTCGAACTTAAAACGATGATGTAAAGGCTTAAATAGTCCGTCACGTCTTCGCAAAACCGAGCAAAACGACATACTGTACCAAGTTGTTCCTTTTCACCGCTAATTTTTCCAGTTCTGATAATATTTTAAACTCTTCCCAGTGTTTTATCTGTTACTTGATTCCACATTTCATAATGTGTTTTCGAAACATTTTTTTAAAAAAATAGTTTGGAAAATGACAGTTAAATTGCTAACGTTTTTCACTGAAACACGAACGTTTCGTCTAACCAATCAGCATGTTGCTAATTATCAGTCGTCACTCGCTCAAATTTTTTGCGTGCGCACAAGTACCATGACCATTGAACGTCCATGACATTTGGGCAACTTTGAATTCGCCTATGTTCTGTCAGAATACCCGGGTGTGATTCCTAATCTCCGGGCGGAATTAGTACACTCGCACGGTGCTCCGCACTAGCTCGGGGATTATAAGGAATTGTTTTGAACACAATAAAGATTGCGAC